GTCATATCATGCACTATACATCAATGTTATTTGGTTCATAGTTGGTTTGATCTTCTTCACATAAATTCCCAATATAAACTTCTTTGTTACGGTAGAACTACTAAATGGTATAGGGTATCATTGAGTCGGCCCCACCCCTCTTTGACCTTTTCTTTACTGTTTTTTTTTTTTTTTTTGTTAACAGACTACTATTAAAACAATTAAATAAATTCAAATAAATTATTCAATTTTTTATTTATTTTTATAATTGTTAAATATAACATTGGAAAAACAAGGACTATTAAACTAACGACAAAAAAATAATTATCATTTTATTCAATCCATTTTAAACACTTCAACCTATATCTTATCACTATGACATGGCAACAGGGTGACAGGAACTAATCCAGATAACCCTCGTTCAATAGTACCGGCATAAAGTTGCGAATTTCTTCAAACACTTCAGGTGAGAAATATAAATAGGCATTCATATCGGGATTTTCGGGTAATTTTGTGGTGTCGATTTCTTTTAATTCCTCGGCGGGTTTTGCCAGAAAGCCCAAGACCAGGGGTAGCAAAACTCCCATGCAGTACACCCAGAGAAAAAATGACAACATCCGTGTATGAAATGACCACATCCGTGTATGATAGTGTATCAACCACGTTTGGTGTCAAAATGAGCACGCTGTTGTCATTTTGACACCGAGATTTTGGCAACGATTTCAACAACAGATGTGCATGAAATGAGCACATACGTGGTCATTTCGAGCACGCCCCGTTGTCAGATTGTCAACGCTTCGTTGTCAGATCGTCAACGCTTCGTTGTCAGATTGTCAACGCTCCGTTGTCGGATTGTCAACGCCCGTTGTCAGATTGAAATCAATGGTGGTCATTTTTTGATATCCGTTCCTTTTCCATTTTATACCCTTAGTAGAAGAAACGACATTTTTTGAAAAGTATTTTATTGAACGAAACCAATTACATAAATTCAATATAAATACATATTTGATTTAACAAAACAATTCGAATTACATATATTCAATGTATAGAAACAAATTAAATTAACTTAAATCTGAAATAAACTTTTCCATTATTCATAGGATATAAGTGAAATGGGTAAGTAATAAAATCTAAAATTGGTATTAAAAAAATTGTATCCTCATTCAGAGAACCAACTTCATACGATTGTAAATGGTAATCAAAGTTTTTAACTTTTACTTGGTTACATAAAATGTAAACATTTTCATTTTCAATTATTAAATGTTTAATTTTGAAAAGTTCAATTGCGGCATTATTTGTTGCTAAATAATAGTTTTTTTTATACCTAGTTCCCTTAAAAAAAATGTCATCAGACACTTTGCAATTTTGGTAATTTAAAACTGGCTTACTTTTTTTGTAACAATATTCCTCTTTTGCCAAATCTTCGATGGTATGCGTATTAATGATAACATTTGGTTCTAAGTTATCTTCGTGTTTTAATAAAAAATTGGAAAATTTCAATCCAGACTTAATAGATAATGAACGACAGGGATTTACTCTTGATGTAGTATTTCCTAAATAGGCTTTTGCTTCCTTGTGTTTAGCTTCGAATCTCATGCTCCAGAGATATTTAAGGGGACCACATTTTCGGATAGCTGTGGGATAGTGGACAAGAAAGTGGTGTTTCGGTTTTAACGAACCGTATAATGTTATATAAAGTGAATGGTGATCTCTAATTAATTCTTCCAATTTTATTAAATCGTCTTCTATATAACTTGGTCTTAAAAGTAAATCGATTATTTGTAATAATATTATTATATTTAAATTTTGTAAAACAGGTGAATTTAGGAATTTTTTGGAGTTTTCTAATGTCAAATCTAAGAGATTTGGAATTTTAAAAAGGGCACTTATCATGAATTTCAGTGGCATTATATAAATATTGGATAACTTTGGACCTAAACTGGGATTTCCGCTGATAACAATTTCCGAGACTTGATTGCTAATTACATAAACCTTTGGATCATCATAAAAGTTTAGTTCTTTTAAAATTTTTAAAAGTCTATATTCCGTTCTAGTTTCTTCGAAAGGATTTTTACAAAAGTTTAGTAAGTACCTTAAGTCTTCATAATTTGGATGATCAGTTATATATTTTTCAATTGTACATGAAATGGATGAAAGCAGAATTGAAACAGAATGTTGTATTTCTATAACATGATTTCTAGGCATATAGCTTTGACCATGTAATTGTAAAGACAGATATAAGGTTTTCTTTTTCAAAACATTTAAATCCTTTTCTATTGTATTGTTGTTAATAACAGTTTCACTGTTTGTATAATCATTTTCTTTTGATGATGACATTTCAACTGGCACATTAATGGCTTTAACCATTGGTGGAGCTTTTGTGTGATTCTTGTGAAGTTTTTCTAAATGAATTCTGAATGACGTAAATTTTGTAAATGTTTGCTTACAGTTGTCCTGAACGCATTGTACTTTTAAAAATTTAGTGGACATTAAATGGTCTGTTTTCAAATGAGCTATTAAAAGATTTGCCTTATCAAAATGCTTACGGCAACGAAAGCAAATATACATTTTGAATTGTACTTTAATTATTGTTGCAGAAATTAATAAGTGAAGTCAAATTAACTGATTTTATATCATATACAGTATTAATTTCATAAAAATATTTTTGGATAAAAATCCATGGAATTTGGCAGGCATTTGGATATTTTAAAGAAAGTGCATGAAAAATTTTAAAACATGTATCTAAACATTCGAGGAACGATTGAAATTTTAACAAATTGTGGTTAAAAAAAACATAAAAACCTTTTATATTGAAATCGGACAAACCCTCCACAATTATAAATGGCTGTATAGTTAATCCAGCATTGTAATACTTTTCAGTGACTGTATCAATTTGCCTTTTATAATCGTTAATTGTCGGTAGTCGCAGTACGAAACTTTCCTGCGAATCAGCTATTGTTACTTTTTTTCGTAATTTACCGTTTCCACATTTAAACCTAGCAGGTGATGGTAAAACTGAATTCAACAGTATTGCGTATATATAATCTTGAGCATCTGCAACCGAAATATAAAATAAATATTACTTTTAATGTTTATGATAAATCAGGAATTAAAATTTACCTATGCTGCTTGCCGTCAAAACATTTGCGAAGAGTTGTTTGCAATGTTCGTTATGAATATTTTTCCCATAATAATTGTAAATTTTTTTCTTAAATTGGTCCCATTTAGAAAGTAGAAGATTGCCTTTCTGTGGATACATAATATCGAAATCAATGTTGACCTAAAACGAAACATTAGTATCCATATACAAATAAATAGCTCATGGCTACTTACCAATTCTGAAGCTCTTGCATCGGACAACTTCGTCCATTCAAGGAGAAATGTATGGCTACTTAAATTTTTTATATCTCTTTGCCGTATGTTAAAAGATCTTTTCCATTTTTCGCAGATCGATCCCCAATCATTACATTCTCTTAGTAAGGAAGCTTTCAATGAATTTTCAACTGATTCATCAATTTCGGGAACATCTTTGTTACAAAAATTAGGAGATGTGTGAGTTGCTGCTTTGCTTGTGCTAGGCTCGGAAATCAAAAGCTTTATTCTTTTGGACTTCTTGTTTCTATACTTGGCATAAAGTTTTCCGCTTGCGTTGTTCTTTCCTTTTCTTGAAATGTAATAATAATCCTAAAAATAAAGACATATTATAAGTTAAGAAACTACATAATCAGATACGTTGTTTATATTGTTAATCTTACCCTCATTTCGTTTTCAAGAGGAAAAACGGAACAAATTTCATCCAATATGCGCATATAGTCTTGAGTGTAAAGAGTAACATTGTTGGTTAAAATATCTTCAATAATTATATTAATTATATCATCTCTTTGCTCGTCACTTAATTTCTTATTAACGCTACTACATTCAAGCGCTAGTTTCCCCTTCGAGGTATGTGTTAACAATTCCGTTAGATCCTATATTAAATAAAAAAACTACATTAACTATGCTTACACAAATATTACTCTTACCTTACCTCTGACAAAATTCCTTTGGCTTTTGAGCAGTTCGAACCTGTAGTGTCGGGAGTACCAGGAGTACTTGCAGGTGTCTCGTTGCGTTTCCACCATTCACCTATTTTAGATGGAACTGACATAGTTTCGTCATCAATCCCGAGCTATTGTTATGACAATATTAATACTGAGTTCAACTCTGTAAAACAAATAATACGTACCTTTCGTTTTTTCCAAGCAAAGAGCTTTTCTCTGAATTCAACACGCAGTCCCAATGGTGGCACTGCTTCCTTTAAATCTTCTTTTTTCAAGTACTGCAAGCTGCGAAATGTTACATGTGATGCTAAAAGAACAAAAAAGAAAATTCTTTGTTAATTACACTGATTAACTGAAAAATTCATTTTTATTTACTTACCTTTTAATTGTTCAAAAAGCGACTCCATATTTATTCCTTTTAAGAACTCCCTTAACATATAATCGTCCTCATTGTTTTCCGCATCTTGACTGCTGCGAATTATTATTCATTTTCAATAAATTTTTTGCACAATGCGTCCTTTCTCTTTCAATAACACGGAAAAAATGGTAAATATGCAGCCGATTGCACACGAGTAAAAAAAATGACAACGGTGGTGCATGATTCATACACGGTAGTTGCTAAAATGGCAACGATCGTGTACGATTCATGCACGTCGGTGTACAAAGTAACAACGGTGGTGCATCATTATGCAGGTGGTGGTGCATAATTCATACACGACCGGTGTCATATTGACAACGACCGTGTGTGAATCATGCACCACCGTTGTCATTTTTTACTCGTGTGTAATCGGCTGCAATTACCAATATTACAAATGGACAAATTAAGCACGGCTGTTGTTGGTACCGAAAGTTGACCACGTCTCGGTGTCAATTTGAGCACGTTCGTGCACAATTCACCAACAGCCGTTGTTGAAAAATATAACAACGGGTCGTTGCGAAAATGACAACATACGTGCTTGATTTCGCAACGGGATTTTTCCCTCAGTGTACATAACTAAAAAGAGGAACAATATAAAAAATATATAATTTTTTAAAATTAATTTCCAAAGAATAGAGGATAGTGTCCTCTTACCAAAATGCCGATATTTCAGGGTCGACTGCTGGAATTGTGAATATTTCGGCAGTTTCCCTTCGAAATCGAGTTTCTTCAGAATCCTTAAAAATTCCGTAAAATAAAAACGTATCAAACTGTGACGTCGCATTCTCAGCTCAGGACTCATCAACATAAATTGCGAATAGATCAAATCAATGCAAGACGGAGCATAACAACTTATCTGATAATCGACCATCATTACATCCTCTACACTTTCCTCGGAATTCAATTTAAACATCATATTTCTCATATGGAAATCGCCATGATTTAATACGAAGATATCTCCCTTATTGCCATTCGTTTTATAGGAATTAAAGAGATCCTTACATGCCTCTTCCAATTCATTGAATATTACCTTAACCTTATCCACATAGATGGCGAATTCTTCGCGCGATTCCAGTACATCCAAGAAATGTTTCATGCCATACGACATCATATCTTTCATCATTGGCAAACTGATTGACATGAAGCCATCCTGATATTGGGCCACCGATTCGTGTTCCTCACCTTGACCCAACATATAGGAGACGGCATGCAGTTTGGCCAATTTTGTATAGACCACCTTAAGTTCATCTTCGGTTAGGTAGCGGCCACGCAAAGTATTGAAACCAAGCTCACACAAATCTTCCATAATCAGGATTTTATGGGGCTGCAGGGCATGATAGAATAAACTGAAAATGAAAATGATTTTGAATCACATGATTAGACATAATGTTAAGGTCATATGAAAAGTACTTATTGATTAATGCATTTTTGAAGCATAGTTTTAGGCGCTTCTTAGAAATTCCGACAATTTAAAAGGAACGCTTTGGAACTTTGAATTCCAAGAGTTTTGAAATAACTGACTGACTCATCCAGAATCAACGCCTAGACGAAAACACTAAATTAAGAATCTTTTGGAAATTCGTACTAAAAGGGTACGAAAAGTACTAAAATTTACTAAAAATTGAATTCTTCGAATTGGACAAACGGAATAAGCTAAAATTCTGATATTTGGAATGAGAGTCACTGACGGAGTGCAGGATATATGTACCAAAGGGTTTTTCAAAATTCGAACTTCAAGGTTACGAAAAGTTCTAAAATTGTATTAAACTTCTAAAATGGTACCATTTGGTACTATAAGAACGGATAGAGCTAAAATCAGGGACTTCAGTATGAGAATCAAGTAAGTTTGATATATGAAAGTGGATTTTGGAAATGGGTACTAATTGTGCACACTGTACTAAATGGTACTAAATTTGGAACAGTTTGGTTTAGGGTGAACGGATGAAGCTCAAATTTCGAAATTTTCGTATTGGAATCCCTGTGGGTGGTAGGTTTCTGATATAGAGGTGGTTTTGGAAAAGTGTACTACAAGTACACAAAGAGTAATAAATAGTACTATATTTGGTACAATTTTGTATTGAGAGAACATATAGTGTTTGAAATCTGAAATTTGCTATTAGGGTCGCTGTTCATGTGTAGCCTGGACATATGAAGGCGTTTCCGGAAACATGTACTATAATTGTACGAAAAGCACTAAATGGTACTAAATTTGGTATTGATTGAAGGGATAGAGGAACAATTTTGAAATTTGATAATTAGAAAACTTATGGTATCTGTGTTTGAAATTTGGCGGTGGTTTGGAAATATATCCTATATTTGTACGAAAAGTACTAAATAGTTCTAAATCTGGTACTAGTACCAAATTTGGTAAATTTGAGCTGAAACCGTCAAATTTTATATTACGATATCTGTTGGTGTGTAGGATTGAGATGTGGTACGGTTTGCAAATGAGTACTAAGAAGTTACGAAAAGTACTAAATAGTACTAAATTTGGTGTTGAAATTGTTGGCGCCTATTGTGTAGCCTGGACATATGAAGGCGTTTCCGGAAATATGTAATATGAAATGTATAAATGGTACTAAATTTGGTATTGATTGAAGGGATAGAGGAACAATTTTGAAATTTGATAATTAGAAAACTTATGGTATCTGTGTTTGAAATTTGGCGGTGGTTTGGAAATATATCCTATATTTGTACGAAAAGTACTAAATAGTTCTAAATCTGGTACTAGTACCAAATTTGGTAAATTTGAGCTGAAACCGTCAAATTTTATATTACGATATCTGTTGGTGTGTAGGATTGAGATGTGGTACGGTTTGCAAATGAGTACTAAGAAGTTACGAAAAGTACTAAATAGTACTAAATTTGGTGTTGAAATTATTGGCGCCTATTGTTAAGATATGGAGGTAGTTTTGGAAATGTGTACTATAATTGTACGAAAAGTACTAAGTGGTACTTAATTGGGTATTTTGTGAAGGGATTGAGCTCGAACCTAGAAAATTGATATTAAGGTCTGTTTTGGTATCTGCGATTGAGATATGGAGATGGTTTCGGAAATGTGTTCTGTAATTGTACGAAAAGTACTAAGTGGTACTAAATTTGGTATTAGGTTAAGGAATAGAGGTGGTTTTGGAAAAGTATGCTATAATTTTACGAAAAGTACTAAGTGGTACTAAATTAGGTATTGGGTGAAGGAATTAACCTGGAATCCCGAAATTTGATATTGAGGACTCTCTTGGTATCTGGGATTGAGATATGAATATGGTTTCGGAAGTGTGTATTATAATAGTACGAAAATTATTAAAATTTGTATATGACGAAGGGATAGAGCTTAAATCCTGAAATTAAATATGGATGTCTCCGTTTGTGTCTGTGGTTGAGAAAGAAAAAGCTGGTTTTGCATATGCGCACTATAATTGTACTCAAGGGTACTTAATTTGGTAATGGGGAAAATTTGCAGAGCTCAAATCTTGAAATTTGATATTAAGGTCATTTTTGGTATCTGAGGATAGGATACGGTTGCCAAAATGTAAGCACTAGTTATTTATAGCCTCAGCTTGATTTCAACAGTTGTTGCCTAAAAGTATGCACCACTGTTTGTCTACTCATTTGTTTTTAAATAAAAGCCCTTGTCATTGTCACGAAATTTGATATGGAAAACACCCCCCATTCAATAACTTTATCTGAGCCACTTGAAACTACACAATAACAACGAACTATTATTAACATCATAATCATTATCTTACCCAGCTGATAACTTGGTTGGCTCACCACACTCGGCCAAGATTTTCTCAAATTTCGGCAATGTTTCGGAATACATTTTAATTTCCGTCTCAAATAGTTTGGAATCCATTAGAAATTCTCGTTTTTTGCTATCCTCTTCCACCGGCAGAGTTTTCATGATCAGCGACCTCTTGACAATGTTGTCGCCCAGACGATATTCCACTTTGCAACGAAACATAATGCTGGCATAGTGATCACCCTTCATGCTGGCCGGACTTATGTCGTAGTTGATGATCTGAAAAATAAAGGAAGAAAATTGTTATAAAATGAAAGATTATTTAAAATATATTTAAAAATATATAAAAAAAAACTGGAAGAATTTTTACGAAATAGCCGATTTTTCCTTTTTGATATCGAAGAGAAAATTGCAAAACTGGTAGATTCTTGCAGATTCAGGAAACAGGACAATAATAAAACTGTTCTAAAAATATTTTTTTTAATCTTTTTTTAATTATTTTTTTAATTTCACCAAAAGATATTTTTTTGATTGATCTCCTTGAAATTCCACCCCATCTCCAAAACTCACCTCAACATCGGCAACATTCTCATATTTTGCCAAAACCATTTTTATAAAATCTTGATTTATCCAGGCTGGAGCTGTCAATTCATCTTCGTTGAATAAACTCATGGTTGTTGTTTTTTTTTATTCTTGGCGCAGTCACACGAAATCGAAAGAGATGTTGTTACACTGAAGCGTAATTTGAAAATAAAACTAATATAAAATTCTATTCCGGCGTCTAGCTAACTAGTCGTGTGCCAGTCAGTTGGTTGAAGAGAAAAGCAAATAGTTATCAATTTTGATAAAGAACTTTGTGTGTATGTGTGTGACTTCCAACGACAGAACGACACAACGATCGGTGACAATAGCGTTTACATTTAAATTAAATTTTTATTCTCCCACCTCACGAACGAAGGGGTAAAGCATTTGATTTGTTTAGATCTGTTAAGTTTTCTTTGCATAGATCGCTCCAAGTAAAAATGGGTTAAGTCAGTATTTTACATATTTTTATACCCTCCACCATAGTATGGAGGGTATATTATTATTATTATTATTATTATTATTATTATTATTATTATTATTATTATTATTATTATATTATTATTATTATTATTATTATTATTATTATTATTATTATTATTATTATTATTATTATTATTATTATTATTATATTATTATTATTATTATTATTATTATTATTATTATTATTATTATTATTATTATTATTATTATTATTATTATTATTATTATTATTATATTATTATTATTATTATTATTATTATTATTATTATTATTATTATTATTATTATTATTATTATTATTATTATTATATTATTATTATTATTATTATTATTATTATTATTATTATTATTATTATTATTATTATTATTATTATTATTATTATTATTATTATTATTATTATTATTATTATTATTATTATTATTATTATTATTATTATTATTATTATTATTATTATTATTATATTATTATTATTATTATTATTATTATTATTATTATTATTATTATTATTATTATTATTATTATTATTATTATTATTATTATTATTATATTATTATTATATATTATTATTATTATTATTATTATTATTATTATTATTATTATTATTATTATTATTATTATTTACATTTTAGACTCCACAAAGTATATGTATTCTAGATCAGCATAAAATTCTATGTCGATGTTCGACTGTCTGTCCGTCTATCTTTGAAAATCACTCTAACTTCCGAACGAATTAAAGTAGATTGATAAAATTTTACTCAAATGTATATTACGTCTGCAGGACTTTTGGTATTGAAAATGGGACGTGTAGGTCCACGTCTTCGTATAGCCTCCATATAACGGTACCTCCCAATATTCGATATTTTGATGATTTTAGCGACATTATTCACTGGATTTGTTTCAAATTTGATATTTGAAGTTCGTAATAGATACTACAGCCTATGACAAAATATTGTCTGCACAGATCCACGTCTTCGTATAACTCCCACATAACAATACCTCCCGATATTCGGAATTTTGATGATTTAAGCGACATTATTCACCGGTAATGTTTCAAATTTGGTATTTGAAGTTCGTAATGGATACTACAGCCTATGACTCAAAATTGTTTGTACAGGTCCACGTTTTCGAAAATCCCCCTATATCAGTACCACCCGATATTCGGTATTTTGACGATTTTAGCTACATTATTCACCGATTTTTTTTAAGTTTCGCATTTGAATATTGTAATGGCTTATGACAAAAGTTACCTATGCAGGTCCAAGTTGTCGTATAGACCCTAATATAACAGCAACATTCGGTATTTTTAAGATTTTAACAGAATTTTTAACGAATTTTATTGTTTTTGAGAATTGCAAAATTGTGGAGGGTTTTCAAAGTTCGGCTTGGCCGAACTTACAGCTTTTTTGCATGATTTTATTTCCTGAGGACTTGAAACACATAATTTATCCACAGAGATTCCAACAAGGAGAGTCTTTCTATAGAAGACCAGAAAGGATAGTTTATCCACAAGAGACCCAAAAAATTGTTTTAATTGAAATTATGGCCAAATAAGGCCTTCCACGGTGTATTGAAGGCTTGAAAACGGTCTTCTATCACAAAGATTTCATGGAATCCTTTAATTTTAGTTATATAGTGCCCTTGGCAATATTACTTACAACAATACGAGGATTATTTTAATCAAACATTTTAACCCACAACCGAGTCACGAAAGGGTTTTTTTGGTTCTTTATTTCAAAAAAATGTTTAAAAACTCCCTTTAATCGGTATCGTAGAAAGTCAAAATATTCTACAAAATTATTTTTCATGAAATTCTACTATAGGTCCAAGAAGACATCAAAGGTCTAAGTCTTACAAAAATACCAGGAATTCAAAAAGAATTAAAAACACATTTTCGGATTAAAGATGTACTTCATGTGAATTTATGCAAAAAATCTCCTACAAAACACCATTTTAGAAGGATGATGTTAAAGACAAAAATATTCTTCATCAAATTTCACTATAAGTTATCAAAGAGGAGAAATCTTTATTTCCATTATATATCCAGAAAAAAATTGTATCAATGTTGCCAAAAAAAAAACTCGAAAATGTATCATATTTTTCAAACAATTTTCCTCGGCGTTTTTCCGATTTAATGCATAAAAGTAACATAAAACTTCATTTTAAGCAGAAAGTACCAAAGGAAGAAATATTCTACTTAAAATTTCACTACAAATTTCAAAATAAACCATACATCTGGGTATAATAATTTTTAAAATAATTACATTCGAAATTTGTATATTACAAGTGAAAATTATGTGTTTACGTTTTTTGCTGCCAATTTGACACTTTTCCCTTCTAAGCCAAAATCTCCCCTTATGCTTCATTGTTTGGGAAAAGTGTCAAAGGACGAAATATTCTAGATCAAATTTCATTGTCAGTCTCTGAACAAAAGAAATTTGTATACTCAATATTTACCATAAAAAATATCATCAGTTTTTTGTTGTTTAAAACCCTATGTTATTTTCGACAAATTTTGTACTTTTTCCAAACTTCCTGCATTTTTTATAATTTCACAGTAAAACAGCATTTCTGATAGTGCTCGGTAATTAATTTTTGTGTTGCATAGTGTAATTTATTTGTGTAAGTTATTATAATATATTTTAATGTACATTTATGAGGTAGTTTTTGTTGTTGAAATTCAAATTATAATAAAGCATTTTCACAACTTGCCGCCTAAAAGTATGCAACATGCTTATTTGAGAAATCACATGTTATATTCCCAGTACCTTTAGGGCATTTTAATATATTTTTTGTGACTTTCAATAGCGGATTATAAAAATAAATTTCAAAAATACGTTTTGAAAATAGAATTTCTAAACCAAATAATTTTTACAATTTTCTTAAAGCCCTCCACCTTAAATCTTATAAATACACTAGATAAACATTTTTGTAGACTAATCCAAATAACCCTCATCCAATAGCAAAGGCATAAAGTTTTCGACTTCCGCAATAAATTCAGGAGTATAATACAAATGGGAATTGGAATCGGGATTTTCTGACACCTCAGCGGCATTGACATCCTTCAGTTCCTCAGCAGTTTTGGTTAAGAAGCCCAAGACCAAGGGTAGAAATACTCCCAGGCAATAAATGGCTGAAAAAAATTAAATTAGATTAAATTAGATAATAATTATATATTTTTTAATTCCATAAATAATCCTTACCAAAATGCCTATACTTCAGTGTAGACTGTTGAAACAGAGAATACTTCGGCAAATCTCCTTCGAAATTCAGTTTCTTCAAAATCCTTAAAAATTCCGTGAAATAATAACGCATCATTGCATGACGCCGCTGCAGTCTCATCGTGGGACTCATTATCATAAATTGTGAATAAATCAAGTCAATACACGAGGGAGCATAACAACTTATCTGATAATCCACCATGAGCATATCTTTCACACTTTCCTCCGAATTGATTTTAAACATCATATTTCTCATATGGAAATCTCCATGATTTAAAACGAAAACATCCCCCTTATTGCCATTCAATTTATAGGCATTGAAAAGATATTTGCAGGACTGTTGCATTTCTTCTGATATCACGCGTACCTTGTCAACATAAATGGCAAACTCTTGGCGGGATGAGAGCAATTTCAGGAAACTCTTCATGCCACTTGTCATCATGTCTTTGACCACTGGTAAACTAGTTGCCAAAAATCCATCTTGATATTGGGCCACCGATTCGTGCTCCTCATCGCTTTGGCCCAACATATAAGAGACAGCATGCAGTTTGGCCAATTTGGTATAGACCACCTTAAGTTCATCTTCGGTTAAATATCGGGCACGTACTGTACTATAACCCAACTCACAAAGATCTTCCATAATAAGGATTTTGTGGGGCTGCAGGGCGTGGTAGAATAGACTGAAAATGAAAATAAAAATGTAAGATTATCATTAAAATATTAGTAGCCTAAAAGTATGCAGCATGTTTTGTATAAAAACTTCCTAAGGCAATGAAAGAATGTAAAAATAAACAGTTCATCTTACCCAGCGGATAATTTGGTGGGCTCTCCACTTTCTGCCAAGATTTTCTCAAATTTCGGTAGTGTTTCGGAATACATTTTAATTTCCGTCTCGAATAGTTTTGAATTCATTAGAAATTCTCGTTTTTTGCTATCCTCTTCCACCGGCAGAGTTTTCATAATCAGCGATCTCTTCACAATACTGTCGCCCAAACGATATTCCACCTTGCAGCGAAACATAATACTGGCATAATGGTCACCCTTCATGCAGGCCGGACTCATGTCATAGCTAATAATCTAAAATGAAATGAAAGTAAAATTTTTTTTATTATTATTTAGAAAAAAATAATAAAATAATCAAAAAAAGTTAGGTTTGGCCGATCAAAAATTGTAAGAGTATGGAATTAGAGAGAATTTTCTCACTCACGCACAAATATTTGCAATAAAATGCAGGTTGGATTTATTATCCGATTGAGATGATCTTCTCCAAAAAATATTTGTTTGGCCCAAGGACGAACCCTATTAATATTGGTGAAAATAGGATAACATTTCGATATATCTTTAACCGACTTCGGTTTAATTTTGCAACAAAATGGCCAATATCAGTCCAAATGACCTGAATTTTGGCACATCCGACCGAATTCAGTCTAGAAATAAGTACATCAAATAGAAAA